CCCCCCTATAGGCCAGTGTGTATAACTGGGACTCTGAGACCCAGGGCTGGATCCTGGGCTCCTTCTTCTACGGATACATCCTCACACAGATCCTCGGGGGATACCTGGCCGGCCGCTGGGGCCCCAAGTGGCTGATGGGATTTGGGATCCTGGGAACTGTATTTTTTACACTTCTCACCCCTGTGGCTGCTGACCTGGGCGCAAAATACCTCATCGCTGTCAGGGTGCTGGAAGGGATAGGAGAGGTAGGTTGTTTCATTACTAAAGAGACACAGGGTGATACAAAACATTGTGGGGAAATGTATACCATAAGCTGTAGTGGATTCAAATACAAAATGTGCTTTAAATGTCCTTTTTAAAATACATCTATGACCCGCCATAATCTCAATGGAGTTATAGACACACCTACAGCCACACCAGATACAGCGATGGTTTGCATGTGCAGATAAGTGGATGGTTATTTGTACTTTTTGCACTCCTGCTGATGCTCTTCTTATGTTTGTCTTCAGGGAGTGACGTTCCCTGCCATGTACACCATGTGGGCGGCCTGGGCCCCCCCGCTGGAGAGGAGCCGCCTGCTCACTATCTCCTACATCGGTAAGACACACACACACACACACACACACACACACACACACACACACACACACACACACACACACACACACACACACACACACACACACACACACACACACACACACACACACACACACACACACACACACACACACAGGGGTACAATGTTAACACAAAGGGAAACGTTTTTATTTATGCTACACAGTATGAAACAGTAGAATTGGGTTTTAACTGCTTTAATATTTCTTTAACAGAATAGTGATGTATTAGCTTTCCAACTAATTGTTTAATAAGTTGGATTTGGTTTTTGAAGCGTTTTAACTTTTGGACACAAAACTATTTGAAGATATTTCCCACTATTTTCTGAGTGTTTTTTGTACTTACCAATGACTCACTCATTTCAAAACAACAACATATTAACTTACAATAACAGTCATGCTTAAAATATCCTTAGTTCAAGGCAATGTAGGAACTTGATCTAAATGATGAATCTCTCCCTCACCATGTGTAGACCAGGGTATGACTCACCCATCTCACCTCATCATCAGACATATCATTTTTAATGTCTACCTCTCACTTTCTGTATATTCATCATTCGTAAGTTACTCTGTGCATTCAGACCGCTGCAGGATACAGATGTTCATCTTCTCTCTTCCTCCCCAGGAGCCCAGCTGGGGACCGTCGTATCTCTTCCTCTGTCTGGACAGATCTGCTTCTACCTGGACTGGACCTACGTTTTCTACATATTCGGTAAAACATCTGGGGGTTTCGCTAGTGTAGGGTGGGAGGGGGGTGTTCCTTTGTTGCTGACTTTCCCTCCACCAGAAATACATTGTTTTATTTCCATATTTTAATTTTATTTGTGAGCGATTTAACACATTTTCCTGATTTCTATTTGGGTTTTGATGAGCTTCAACTTTTCTTAGTGTTTCGGTTTTTGCTTTGATTTCCAAATATCAGCAACTTTTTGTCATTGATAAATTCCTTACTATTCTATTTCCACGTGATGCATTAAGCCAGAACCCCATTGTCTAGTAAGATGAAAGTGACATCATGAATAGGTCGGATAAGAAACATTAACATCTCAGACGATGTCTCATCTTGTCTAATTAGGAAAGTGTAAATAAAAAATGCTCTTCTGTAGTTGCTGCCGGTCTGGATTATGGAGTCTCTGGAGCATTTCCCTGACGTCAAGCAGCCTCTCCATTGATTAGTCAGAGATGTTTGTTTTCCTTTAACACTCATCCTCTAATCCTCACACGAGCTGTTTCCAGTGTCTGCTCCTTTGTTCCTCTTTGGCCGGTGGAAACGATGAGTTCGCAAGTTTGAGAACAAAATGTGCTCACGGATGGAAAAATAAGTCCTGTTTAATTGACTGGCTTGCTTTCCTGGTGAACAAATGCCACTGCCACTAGTTAACCCCACGTGTAAACCACAGGGCAGATGTAAGCGTAGTTATGTTACACAAGTAAAGAAGGGGTAATGACTAGCTTTGTGTGTGTGTGTGTGTGTGTGTGTGTGTGTGTGTGTGTGT